AAATAATGAATAGAAAAATTTTAAATAAAAAGATTTTATTCATTTTTTATTTTTATTTTATGTGTATGAGTATATTGTCTGCATGTATGTGAGTGCACCCATGTTGTGCAATGCTGCAGGAGGTCAGAAGAGGGCTTTGGATTCCCCTGGAACTGGAGTTAAGGATGGTTGGTAGCCACCATGTGGGTGTTGGGAATCAAACCAACGTCCTCTGCAAGAGCAGTCAGTGCTCTTAACCACTGAGCCATCTCTCCAACCCCAATATTTATTATTTTTATTTTATGTGTACGAGTGTATTGCCATGTGGGTGCTGGGAATCGAACCCGGGTCCTCTGCAAGAATAGTCAGTGCTCTTAACCACTGAGCCATCTCTCCAGCCCCAGGAATGGCTTTTTAAAGAGATGGTCTTACTTTGTAGCCTAGGCTAGCATCAAGCTCACAGCCTCCTCCTTCAGCCTACTAAATGCTGGGAATCAAGGCACATGCCACCATTCTGGGCCAAAGAATCCTTTGTGACAGAAAAAAGAAACCACTGTGAGGGGCTGGAGAAATGGCTGAGTGGTAGAGTGCACACTGCTCTTTGACAGGACTCTGTTACGTTCTCAGCACTTAGGACTCAACCACCTGTAACGCCAGCTCCAGGGGACCCACACACTTTTCTAGTCTCCAAGGGCTCCTGGACACATGTGGCACACACACACACACATGCAGCACACACACATGCAAATCCAAGTAAATGAACATACATCTTTAAAAAATAAGCTGGTGAAAGAGGAGAGTTAGATGCTTTTTAAACAGACCTGGTGGCTTGATTGCCTGACCAGAGTGGCAGGATGTAGGAGCCTTTGTTCCCACTCCTAAATGGCCAGAAATGGCTTTGGTGAGGACTGGAATTCGCACTTGAGCATTGACACTTTGACCACCGGGTCCTGCTGTTTGTGCTCACACCTTGGTTTCTAAGCTCCAACCCCAGCCCGCCACACTGGCTCTCCGTCCCCTCTCCCCAAAGTGCTGTGATGACTAGTGCTAGTTGCCATGCCCAGCTTTTCTTGATGTTGGTCTCCTCCTTAGTTCTGAATGGACAAGGATTTGAGGAGGGACTTCAGTGGGGACAAGGCTAACTCTACTATTTCTGATAACTGAGCATATTCTTGGTTGAAACAATTCTGGGCCACACAGCCTTTTGAGAATTGGAGAGGAGAAAAGCCCAGAAATGGACACAGACATTGTCTCTCTCTCTCTGTCTCTCTCTGTCTCTGTCTCTGTCTCTCTCTCTCTCTCTCTCTCTGTCTCTCTCTCTCTCTCCTCTCTCTCTCTCAGTTCCTTGATGTTTCCTGGCCGATTTTAGGCATTTCAGCAACTAAGTCCCTGACTGGAGACTGATAATGAAAGCTAATGTTATTCACCATTATAACCTGCCAGTCAGCAGCCTACACACCTCACATGGCTTAATTCATTCGGTCCTCATAAAACCCCATGACCTACAGTCTGTCATTAACTGCATTTTACAGATAAGGAAACCCAGGCTCAGAGAAATTATGCAATTTGCCTTTGAGCCTGTCTTTTAAACTATGAGGGAGCAGGTTGCTGACGATTTCGTTTTGGGATCTGGATTCAAATCCCAGCTCTCCCTCTTATTCACTGTATGGCCCCGGGCAAATTGTTTTTGTTTCTCTAAACATGCCCATTGAGAGTAATGATATCCAGGGCCAGGGCAGTTGTGAAAACTGGGTGACATAATGTCTGCAGAAGTGCTCTGTCAACACGTGGGAGTGGGTATAAAGGGAGGGACTGGCGATTTTTATTATGGGGTGATAATTC